AGACAAACCGTTACGGGTGGCTAGCGTTCGTCTGAAGTTGTGTACTCGTTACAAACTCTACTCGTTCTTAGATCTACTCGTTACATTTTCACTCGCTCGATAGTTCTAGTTACAACTCTTTCTACTCACTGCAGTTGATAGTAGCTGATCTTGACAATTTTTTAGAGTTCATCTTACAAGTTATACCCCCTTCGAGCTGAACTCTTTACAGATTGTGTTTTACTAGATTTGTTACCAGTTCAACATAATACAACTTCGACTCGCCGCACTCGTTACGATTCGCTGTCGCGCGATTTGCACTCGCTTCCAGTGACGATCATTCGGATTGCACTCCGTTTCGATAAAGCTATATCGTTACTTTCCCGCACTACATCGTTCCATTCCCAATTCCGTTCACTCTCTCATACGTAACGCGAAAAAATTTCAACTAAATCTTATACGAATAGATTTGTATATAGTTATGCAAGTTATGTATGTAGGTAAGTATGTATGAATGTATATATGCAGCATATGTTTATGAGTAGTCACTATATATGTATATATAGTATATATATATATATGTCTATATGTATATTAATGCTAAACAAATTTGACTTGATCGTGAGGATTTTCTTTTATGAGGTTTAGTCGTATTTTGTCTGTGCATAAATATAGTTTAGTTAAAGCCACATCGATCTCATCATTCTATTTCTGCTAGGCATATAGCTATTGCAAAAAGTATGCCTGGTGTTTGCTTTGCTCTCCACTCGTTCACACTCTATGTACAAGCGATTCGTATTGTAGTTGGAGTATTATTATAGGCTTTCTTTCGGTTTCGTTTTGTGTATATTTATATATTTATAAACATATATATTTATATATATATATAATAATAATTTTGAGAGTTTTTGGCTCGCAGTCTTTTCGGGCTATAATTATTCAATATTTTCAACTTGCACCATTTTGCAATCAGTTGGGATCTCTGACATTCTAAATGATTATCAAGGAAATACTCTTTTAATTGTCCTGGTATTTGTCTAGTTACGATTAATAGTTAGTTCACTTAGGTTCTACGTCTAGCACACCATCCTATATAGAATTTACTTTTATCTAATTCTTTAGTATATTTTCTTTTGTTTTTTTAGGGATTGCTTATCAATTTTCGTAATTTTGCTATCGATTTAGTCGATTTTACTTAACTAACAGTTGAATTTCCTATGCAGCATTTGTCAAGCTGAGAACACGTTTTGTTGTTGTATTATTGTATTGTATTCTTTTTTTTGTTTCAATTTCTCTATCGTTGACAGTTTCGGCCTGGGAGGTAGTTACGGTTCTTTGACGGCCGTATACGCGAGGTAGTTTCGGTTTAGTTTTGACATGGGAAAACATTTGTGTTTTCACATTTTTCTAGCTGCTATAAAAAGCTTTTTGTACAAAAAAAAAGCAAAGAGCTTGAAATTAAATAAATAAAAATAAAAAATAATTTTATTCTGCGCACAAAAGTAGGCAACAGTATATTTTAGACAACAGCCAAGTGCCATACGCCCACACACACACACACACACACACGCATACAATGCAAATTTGGCAACAGCCGGGCCAAAATATGTTGCAGCAGTCGTTGAAGTTGACAGCTAAAACAAAGAGACAACGGCGAGGGCCAGCTGCAGGCGTGGGAGTACGAAGTGGGCCTACGAAATGAGCGCCGCTCGTGTTGGCCATAAAACCAGGGCCATGTTAGGCTAAACGCTGCAGCGGAAGAGCAAATATAGGGAAACAGCAAAGCTCTCAGAGAGCGATACAGAGTGAATGAGAGAAAGAGAGAGAGAGAGAGAGCGAGCGAACTGAGTCAGAAAGCCACAGTCAAAGTGAGAGAGGCACATCAGCTGTGCTTTGCGCTCGCGGCAAAGAACAAAAGTGAAAGTGAGAGTGGAAGTGAAAGTGAATGTGAAAAGGCACAAAGAATAGGCCCAAAAAGGCGGAAGCAAAGCAAAAGGACTAGGGCCTAAACAGCCGTTAAAAGATAGACACAGATAGGCACAGTGGGCACAGTGCGTATGGGCGCCCTAGGCACTGGGAGGTGTAAAATCAATACGCTGGCATCTGCTGGCGCCTTGATAGCCCCTCCCCCCGCCCTCAAGCCAATGAAATATGTTAATTTTACGAATATGTAATCGAAACTCAATGGGAACAGGTAGGTAAGGAAGGTAGGTGTCAATGGCCACGCCTACAACTTAGACTGCGAGGGGCCAAGAGCACGCGCCGGCAATCATTTCATTCTTTTTTATTTCAACTGAAGTATGTTTGGCTCTATGCACTGTACGGAGGAGCCATTGCGGGTATATTCGGTTGCTTAGAAGACTCTTAGGCAGGGCTAAGCAGAGCACTGGTAAGTCGTTTCTATTTTCTAGAGCTGCTTTTATTCTCTTTTGTATCGAAATCGAAATAATACGCAGTTTGGTTCAGCTCAATAAAGACTTTGCGTGTAAACTGTTGTCGTCTAGAATATTTATGATTACAATTTGAGGGCTTTGGTTGGGCTGTATATGAATATACACCCACACACACACACACACACACACACACACACACACACTCGCACACTCACTGAAATGTTGGGCTGGCACGCGACACATACGGAAAAGAAAGCTTAATTAAAGTCACAATGAATAATATGTTGGGCACGCACCACACAATGAGCCACCGCACCACTCCAGAGCAAAGTGGGTCAGCGTGTGGTCAGTATTTATGAAAAATCAATAAAGCCTTTTAAATCAACACTTTAAAAAGCCAAAACAAATGAAAGACAATTAACGTAACCAAAATAAATAAATTAAATAAACAAAATAATCAAGTTTTTGGGTTTTCTTTTTTTGTGTGTTTTTTTTTTACTTTTAATCTAAAAAGTGCCTTAAAACTTAAAGAAACAATTAAATTAGATGCGTGAAATTGTGCTACATGTCTTTGTTTGGTTTATTTGTTGAGACTAGACCATGTTGATATAACCGAATGACAAGGCTAGTGCTTAGAGCGACTGCAGTGCTTAGAATTCTCTCATTGGAAATGATTTATCTGCTCTCCAACACATGATCTAGACTCAAAATGGACTGGCCAAAAACTCAAGCTGTGTATAAAAAGTCAGCCATGTTCCCAATTTCGATTTCTTTCTATCAAAATGTTTTCTAAATTTTCATAATTAAACCAGTCAAGTTTTTCAATTTCTCTATATATCTGATATTTGGTGTTTTCTGAACGAAATGGAAACTTGGATTGCTTTGCTGAGCTACGCTGCACTAGGAAATGCCTTAAGACTCTACAATTCCTTCATATTTAATTGCTAATAGTTTTCTTTGCTCTAGATGCTTAGTTAGAGGGGGGGTATATGATTAGTTTAGAGCTACAACTAGATAATTCTGCCTACAGCCTGATTTTTTTCTTTTTCGCATATTAATTTTATCAATTTAAGCTAGTTTAATTTAATAGTTTTAATTTAGTTTTTATTAATTCTTGTTTTTTTGTACCATCCAGCGCTCGAATTTCAATTTTTTTTTTACTACATCATTTTCACAATCTTTACAATTTACAGGGTATATGCCGCTCGTAGCACTCTACTTGCTTTTTTACCATTTATTTTCGTTACTTTTGAACCTAAAGTGATTTGAAGCAAAAAACTGAATTCGAATCAAAGCGCTGACGACATCAAATTTCCCAATTTTCCTTGAGTTTTCTTCATAAATTTTAACAGTTATTTTTCGCTCTATTTAAAGCTGGCGCTGGCTCTGCTTCGGCAGCCTCTCAGTCAAAAAATGCTTACACATTTAACAAATTTCAAATCGAAATATTATTTAATAATATTTTTGTTTTGTTTTTTTAAATAAAAGAGAACAAAATTAACAACAAACGCAATATGGCTATCACAGTAAACAAATGATGGGACTAAGAGAAAAAAAAACAAAACAAAACAAAATCAATTTAATTTATGCCATATTTCTTTTTTTTTTTTTTTAAATATATATATTTTTTTTTAATTGCAAATATTGAGTTTTTTTTTCAAAATTTTTGCTATTTGTTGGTGTTGTGATGCTGCTGGTAGTCACTGTAGCCCAAAAACGCTGCGACTTATGCAAAAACTAGACGCTAGCTTTATTATGTATGTATATGTAAATGTAAATGTGTCTCTGTGTGTGTATGTACATTAAAAATATATGTATATATAGCATATATCTAATATGCTCAACAAATTATATATAACAACATGGCCTTAAAATGAAATCAACAAATAAAGCAAATTATAGTGAAAAGGGTATCTAAATAAAATCGGGCAAATATATATGGAGGGTATATTAAAACCGAAGCTTAACAATTAGTTCAATGATGCATTAAAAATGACTATTTTAAATAGTCTACTAAAATCTATATACATATACATACATACATATGTATATATGCATATATATATATATATAATTTTAAAGTCCACACGGCTGCGGCTGCGGCTGCTGCTGCTGCTGCTGCTTAAACTAGGCTAAACATTAAGCAATAACTCTATAAGGTAGACACTATGACTATAGCTAGACTATATGTATACATATATATTGATATACAGATATATATATATACAGGTTAATATATATATATAAGTATTTATTTATGTTACGACTATAGCCGAGCTCTGACGCACGCCAGCTGTTGCACGTTGCATGCAACATTCGGTGCGTTCGCTCGCTCGGCTTTGGGTTCGGGGTTAAGTTGGGTGGGGCGGGGAGGTTTACTGATGGTGGGGGCGGGTTGGTATCGCGGGAGGGTTTCTTTGTTATTCTTGTTCTTGTCTATAAAATCGTTCCATTTACAAAAGCACAATTTTTTTTTTTTTTTTAGCAATGGGCTTGTCCGTTCGAATTGTACACTAACACACACACGCACACAATCTTTCAGTTTGTGGCTGTGGCACGCATCCAGCTCTAGACCTTCGCCAGCTGCTTCTTGGGCCGCATCGGCACTATGCAATAGCCGGCACTTACATCACGTCCGCTAACCAACAGATTCTTAAGCACAGAGTTCGACTGTTGCTGCTGCTGCTGTTGATGATGTTGCTGCTGCTGCTGCTGTTGCTTCTGCTGCTTGGCATCAGCTGCTGTTGACCAGCGTTCGCTTGCGTGTCGCTTGTTTGCCTGCTGCTGCTGTTGCTGCTGCTGCTGTTGCTGTTGCTCCTTGCCCATCAGCTGCTGCAGCAGCTGTGGCGATTGCACTTCCAGGGTGAGTGTTCCGCTCTTGAGACGCTTCGACTCCACAACATTGCCAGCTGCCGATTGGCTGTTCAAATGACGCTTGTTGCCATGTTGCTGCTGCTGCTGCTGCTGCTGCTGTTGCTGCTGTTGCTGTGGCGACAGCGTTTGCACCAGAGTTGCCTTTGTTGCTGGCGTAATTTTGCTTTCCACCAGGCGTATGGTTGCCTTGGTGCCATTCAATAGCCTCTTGGCCGGCTGCTTGCTGGGCAGCATCAACTCCTGCAACTCCTCCTCCGATTGCTGCTGCTGCTGCTGCTGTTGCTGTAGTTGCTGTTGCAGCTGCTGCTGCAACATTGTCGCATTATTTTGAATGGTTATTAATGGCACGGCATTCAATATGATATTCTGCTGCTGTTGCTGTGGCAACTGTTGCTGCTGCTGCTGTTGCTGCTGCTGTTGTTGTTGCAATAGCGGCAACATTGTCACTTTGCTGGGCGCTGGAGAAACCGCGGGACTGGTGTTGGGCACCGCCACATTCATTTGCAACAAATCGCTCCAATCCAAATTGGTGGCTAAGGAATTGCAATCAAATCAAAAAAAAATGTTAGAAAGTTTTGCAGGTTATAAAAGCCGCTGAGGCATAGAGTTTATATAATGGATAAACTCAACGTTTGTACAGGGTATATACAGGTATATACAGGCAGCGGCAGTTGTCATCGAAGTCATTAATAATATATAGCCGAGTCAGTATTTAAAATATGTTATCCAAGAGACCGTAAAGCAGAGATTTTTTTGATAAGATTTGACTCTAAAAAATTCATAAATATTGTTTTTATATTTTTCTTTTAAATGGACATGAAATATATTCATATATACTCAAAGATAAAAAGATTACAAAATCGATAATTATCGATTGTATTTTATTTGATATATGTTGGCTCCAATTTGTTATCGATTGCGCCCACTATCTACAGTTCTACATCTCTAATTAGAGCTATATATATAGAGCTAGAAATACGATTTAAATATGGCAGTACTATATCTTATTCAAAGCATAGACTGCATAGACATCTTTGGGCATAATCTGAAAAATCATATAGGGCAGAAAGAAGAAGCATATATTTCCTTAGCATATACATATTCATATATACATATAGACCCAGAGAAACTAGTCCCTGGTCATTCTCGCTGATTATCCACTATTCACTAGATCCATCTACATTGCCATCTAATCTTCTTTTCTCACCCGGAATTTATTGGATGATTGTACGATCTGTTGCTGCGGCTGCTGCTGCTGGCAAACAGACGAGCAATTAATTCCTCTTGCCCATGACATTGATGCTAATTTAAAACAATAATAATCTTCTATAAATTTTTTTCATTTTTTATTCGTGAAAAGTTGCGTGTGTGCCAAAAAACTGAAATATATATGTTTATACGGTGCGAAAGCAAAGGGTATATACATATACATATCTCTATCTGTATCTCTCTCTCTCTCTCTCTCTCTCTGTCTCTATATATTTGGAATATGTGCTAAGATATGGCCACTTTATGCTAGGCATAGGAAAATTCAAAAGGAAAAACACTCCGCAGACATCTGTCCATATGCCAAAACAAAAAGCTGAAATCATCTAAACAAACGACAGTTAGCGTCTGCCCTGACAGGGCCAGGCCCAGGCCCAAGACCCAGTCAAATCAATCACAGCCACCGTCGTGGAGGCGCTCCGTGACATGTGTCAAAGGTAAGAGGCGTATACCGTCCGCCCATTGGCATGTGTAAAAAAAAATTACACAGCATTTCCTAAATACCAGCGCAGCAACAACAACAACAACAACAACAAACATTGCCATTGGTAATTGTCGCAACAATTTTGGGCCTGAAGAGCGCTCGACATCAATTAGCTCTCACACCCCATGCGCTGTTTAGCTTAGCAGGGGCGAAGGGGGAGAGAGGGAGAGGCAGAGTGAGGAAAAGACGGAAAGATTTAGCAGAAATTGAAATGCCCTGTGTCATGGATCTATCTAGTATATGGATTTGATTTAAGTATGATTGAGGTTAATTTTGATATTTAATCAAAACTATACAGCTTAGGTATAACTCCTCTGACTTCTATAGACTCTAACGTCACATATCGTCTCTCTCCCTGTGTCATGGATCTATCAAGTATATGGATTTGATTTAAGCATGATTGAGGTTAACTTTGATATATAATCAAAACTATGCAGATTAGGTATATATTAACTTAACTCCGCTGACTTCTATAAACTCTAACGTCGTATATCCTCTCTCAAAATCGAAATGCCCGCTGAGGTTTTTTAAAGACTCAAATAAATGTGAAAATTTGTGGCAATGTTTTCATCTATTTTTACAAACACATGTATACACACAAATATCAACTGGATATATACTCTTCTATCTATCTATATATATATATATACATTCATATATCTATATTAATGTATAAGGTATACGTGTCTTGAGCATAGCGCTGCTTCGGCTCTATTTATAGACTCGCATAGCGACAATTTAGGCCTCTCCAAATGCAGTAAATGTTGGAAATTGTCAACTGTGTGAGAAATGTGCGTGAGGGAAAAATCGGAAAACTACATAATTAGCCGGCATCAGGCTGTCTATTGTCGTCGCGTAGGTGTTTTCTTTTTTTTTTTTTTCCTTTCCTTTGGCTGGCATGAAAAACTATGCGACTCACGTCTCAATAATTGTGATCTCTTGGACATATTTATGAGTTCGATTTATGATTTTTAGCCTTTAAGACTGCTGCCGCTGCCTGCGGCTGCTGCTGCTGCTATTTCAATCCCAGACGATACTTACAATCTTTGCTGTAGTCGTTGTGAAATGCATCCTCTATCGAGGGACACAGGCTGCTGGACAGTGAGACATCGAACTTCTCCTTCTTGCACTGCCTGCCAATGCTCAGCAACATTTGCTGCTGGAAAAATGTCGGCTGCTCGCGCTCGAGTTGCTCCTCCTCCTCCAGCTGCAGCGCCGGCTGCATTTGCTGGAAGCTGCGCAAGTCCTGCTCATTCTGCTGCAGGCGATCCTCGCCAGAGACATTGCCCAAAATCGAGAGCGTGCCGTTGCCGCTGCCGCAGAGCAAGGCGGCCAGCTCGCTGGAGCCGGTGGTGTAGACATTTGAGTGTTGCTGCTGCTGCTGCTGCTGCTGTTGCTGCTGCTGTTGATGCTGTTGCTGCTGCTGCTGCTGCTGCACGGGCGATGGCGACAGCGAGGACACTGTGGAGGCAGGCGAGGAGCACAGCGAACTGGAAAAATGTTGCTGTTGCTGCGAGTGCTGTTGCAACGGTTGCTGGTAGCTGTTATATTGCTGTTGCTGCTGCTGCTGTTGCTGCAATTGCTGCAAATGCTGCTGCATGCTGTCCACATCCTTGGGCACTATGGGCGGCAAATCGTCCGCCGGACACCACATGAGATCGCTCTCGGTCAGCAGCGGCATATCATCGCCCATGGGTATATAAGGAGCGCGCATGCCAAAGTCAACGAACGTGAAGTCGTCCTCCTGCGACAGCGAGTTCGGGCTGCACAGCGACGGCAGGCTGCTGTCCTCGGGCGTCTGCAAAGGCAAAATGAGATGAGAGTTAGTAATTGGGTTCATATGAGAGTGTTGCTGTTGCCGTGGCTGCTTACCTTGGGCGAGTGCAGATGCTGGGAGCAGCTGGTGTCATTCGATTCATCGCGATAGTTGAACAAGGGATCAATGTTGCTGCTGTTGCTGTTGCTGTTGCCATTCTCTTGCTGCTGGCTGTTGGAGCTGTTGCTGCTGCTGTTGCTGCTGTTGCTGTTGCTGCTGTTGTTGTTGTTGTGGCTGTTGTTTCTGCTGCTCGCTGTGCCAGCAACAATTGCAGCTGTGTTTAAACTCTGACGATTGCTGTTGTAACTGTTGTTATTGCTGTTGCTGCTGCTGTTGTTGTTGTTGTTGCTGCTGCTGTTGTTGTTGTTGTTGTTGGTGCTGCTAATGCTGCTATTGCTGTTGCTGTTGTTGTGATAGTGCGTCACACTGCCCGTCGTCGAGCAGGTGGTCGAGTCCAGCGAGCCAATCTCATCGGGCAGCAGGCAGGAGTTCATCAAGCCCACCAAAATCTCGCCAAAGGGCTCGTCCAAGTGAATGCCGGACGCGCCGTTGACCAACTGTTGCGACAAGTCATCCGGTTCCTCTTTCAGCACTACAAAAGCCAAGGAGAAGAAGGAGAAAGAGGAAGAGTTAAGTTTAGTAGAGTTAAGTTTGGGGCATCTGTGCACTTGTCAAAGAGGTGTCAAAACTTGGTGCTAAGTGCAAACGTCTCCCCCAAAATAAATATATATATAAATAATACAAAAGTTGCCGTTAATTGAAGCCACAAGACAAGAGCCCAGGCAGACTGTACTGGCGCCACTCCCTACAACTGACAAAAATTCATTTCTTCCAATTGACAGCTCCCAATTGAGTCTAATAAAAGTTGTTCCTCTCTCATTTTTTTCGGCTGCCTGAATTAGTTGATTTATGTGCTACAATTGCTAGGCTAGGGCAAAGATTTTAATGGCCTTTTTGACAGGCACTCTTTGTTTTTTTACTCTGCTTTTTTTTTTTTTTTTGTTTGTTTGTCTCATTAATCAGCATCGGAAAAGTTTCGCAACTGATTAAGGTGTATAGCATTGACGTACGACCCATCGAACTGCAGCGGTGGCAAACATTGCTTTTGAATGCACTGAGCCTAACGAGACGAGGCCTAACCCTAACTGAAAGTCAAGGCCCCAGAACCGCAAGATCCGAGATGCGCGCGCCTTATCGGCATTTGCAATCAACCCGGAGATTTGGATTTGCGCGTCACGACACAAAACTTCAGAGTCAACAATCAGAATACTATATAATATATATGTATATAGTATGTCATCTATACTATATGGACAATACTCGGGGGAGCGGTTAACCGGTATAAACAGCTCACACGATTTAATTACAATATGCATATAAATATATATATATATATATATATATATATATATATATATATTTATATTTTTATTTAGTATAACTAGTTGAGCTTGCAATATATACGAGATTCTTTATCAGGCTACGAGAGTTTTCAGATATATAAATAGCACTATTCCAGCGACTGTATGTATATATGTATGTATATATCTGTATCTAGTTCTACCTATTCCAAGCCGTTGAATGCTGCTGAATCTTCATTCTATTGCTCAGCTGTTTTTGCACTTGTTCTACCAGCAACTATATATACATATATATAGGGAAAAAAATCAACCAATCTTATCTCTCGCTCAAGTTCTATGCAAACAATATTCTAGGTTTTCCAATAACTTTTAAGCACCAATTGATAATTTATACTATATTTATTTTATTTTACAATGACCAACGACAACAAACGCGTTTGTTCACGTTTGTAAAGCACAACAATATAGAGTATGAATACACTATAGGCGAAGTGTGCCAGAATTTACCTCGAAAATACTCTCTATCGGATCTAGGGATATAAGTAAAACAATTTTCTTAACCGAAACGCCTTTTGCAAAGAGTTTGAATTGTTATATAAGAATTACATTTAAATGAAAAATCTCGGGAGATTGTTTCTATCAGCAAACAATTATAATATGGAATACTGGAATACTCTGACTAAGAGAGTATACTTTCATGTACTACTACTCTGGATTTATATGTGCTGCAGTTCTCAAGATTTGTTAATGCTGATGGATTATTAGATAAAGGAGTACATATTTTTTATCTGTGTATACTTTTATAGAAGATCTATACCGAATTTACTGATTCTAGATCCTGAAATATACGTGAGATTGGATATAGCTTATAAAATGATATCGATAACACTTATTTTTCATGCTCGAAAGTCAAATATTCCAAGACTAGATTAATTCAACTCTTAGTCAGGTCAAAAATATATATATATAAGTATATACCCTATCAAAAACTTTACCTACCATTTTAACTGCTTCAACGCGAAATTCACACAATATAAAATAAATAAAATCAAAAGCAGCTAAGGGCTCAACAAAGCTTTCGGACACGATCTACTGCAGTTTATACCTCACATACATATATATTTCTACATATATATATTGTATAAACTATGCACTGGACTTGCCGTATAAAGACTATCTCACACACACACACACTCACATTGTTGACAAATTAATTAACAATGCAAACACTTGGCTAGCGGGACGAATGGTTGGGCAGGTGGCGGGATCTATAGCTGACCCCCTACAGTGCGACTTATAATTATGGCACACAAGTGCTACTCGAGAACGACGACGCGGGACTATGCGGAAAACTAACCGAGCAGCGAAAAACATATAAAAATTACAAATAACAACAACAACGATAAATTAACAAGTGAAATTATGGCACACGATAATGCGAGTTGGCCAAGCGAGCCCCGCACAGAGCCAGGCCGGGCCGGGTTGGACCTACAACCCACCAAGTGCCCATTTGTAAATATTAGCAAAGTGTTGTGTTTTTTTTTTCTTGTTTTTGTTTTTTATGATCTTTTTATTTTTCGTAATTGTTAACGTAAAGTGCAAGGTCGTAGACCTAAAAACAGAAAACAGAAAAGGCGAGAGGCAATGCAACAAATTTTAGCAGCTGAGTGGAGAGACTGAGGCTTTACTAGAGCACCAGCTAATTACTTAATCAAAAATAATACGAAAAACTGAAATTTGAAAGCTGAAAACCGAAAACCGAAAACTGAAAAGTGACTGTCGTAGCATCGCGTGACGTGCCGCAAGCTGCAGCAGCTGCACTTGAGCCACATTCGATGCACTTGAAAAACTGAATTCGAAAGTTTTCTAGAATAGCCATTCAGTGAATAACGAGTGCTTGTTAGACTAAAGCCCAGACACACACACGCACACACACACACACACGATACAGTCTAGTCTAACGCGTGACTTGGCCCAGCAGCCAAACACTCACTCAACAACTCGACACAGTTTCAATTTAAATAAATCATCATAATGATGATGATAATGATGATGATGCTGATGATGATGATGATGATGCTGCTGCTGCTGATGATGATGATGTGCATGATAATCATGCTGTTGATCAACAGAATAATGACGTAGTTTAGTCGCCTCCCAAATAGGGAATACGGATTAGTGTAAATCTAAAGAAAAGCGTAGAATAAGAACGGACACAGACACTTAAAATAAAGCGAGGCGAAAAAAACAAAAAGGAAAAATAAAAACTGTCAACTAACGGCCTAATACTCTACCAAGAGTAACTGACAAGACTAAGTCATTAAAATTCGTAATGTAATATGAATCAACTCCCCAATTTAAGATGAATCCTCAGCATTTACAAATATCGATTATCATATTTATATTTATAAATATATCAATGATATATCATTTTCAATATGCTTGTCTATATCTTGATCTATATATATTATTATTTAAATATATTTTAAGCATGATTTTATTTCTATATATGCATCCATATTCCTAGCCTTTATATCCTTCTATACATATCGATATTCTTATCCATAACTTTATCAGCATTTATGAACGTTATATCTTGATCAATTTTTACTTTTCTAACATTTCTATATCTATCTTCTTATCATATCTTTATCAGCATTTATACAAGTTATATCTTGAACAATTTTGGTAATTTCTTATTAATTCCTTCTAACATTTTCTTTTCTAACTCTATATCTACATCCATGCATCGTCATACAATATCCAACCATAACCTAGTCTAATAACAAACATTAAGTTCGTAAGCCCTATAACCCTCTTTCCTCACTGTTCCGTGAACAGTGTATTGAAATTTTGATAGCATCTTTATGTAAGCGCCGCTGTGCTCGCCTCCCCATTTAAGAGCTTGAGTGTTCTAGAGGTCGCGATTAGGCACCTACTTGTGCGTCTGTTTATACCGTATCAGCGCGTGTTCTGGATGCGGAATTAGATGCCTACGCATAGTCCGTACAGCCGTAGACAGCAAAACAACGCAAAATAAACTTTGATTAAACCAAACTCGTGGCAATAAGCAAGCGATAGTTTGGCGATAGTTTATACACTCAGCTTAATCACGCGCAGTAAATACGAGCAGAGTTACAAATTCTATTGGTTGTTTTTCAACATATCTATTCAAAACTCAACAATGCCGTATTAGAGCACATTATATAACACTTGTTCGAGTCATCAAGCTGATCGGATGAAATCAAATTCCAATAACTGGCAAATTCTTTTGGTTATCACCAACGAAAATAAATATAATAAGTGCTTCCCTGTTTATTTACGTTCCACGTTAAACCAAAATAAATATAGACAGAAAAAAAAAAGTCGAAGCGTCTGCAGCCAGCAGCAAATGTCAACAGAAACACGAAAAATTTGTGTGGAAAAAAATAGAAGAAAAAGTTCAGGGAATGCACGAATGATAGACTTAGAGATGCGCTTCGAAGGCACAGAAACAAAAGGAATTCCTAGGGTAGTTAATAGTATTATTTTGAGGGTATGAATTAAAGGTGAGCTTTCCTATTGGGGAGAGACGGCTTTACAGCTAGACAAAGAGAAATAAATGTGTGCAGATTAAGGTGCAGCTAAGAGGCACAATACTTCCAGATCATAAATCAATACTCATAGTATTTATTTATATGCAGCACTCTTATCAAGAATCTAAATCGATCACACGTCATCGCTATAGAAGTGGAGCACTAAATAATCTAATCATTAAATAATATTTAACGCATTGGATTTGCAGCATAGAGGCAGCTTAATTACTATGATTAAACTTCAGCAAGAATCGATATTTATCGATATTGAAAATCAGTACAAAAACAAATCAATTCGAGTCAATTCAGTGCATACATCAATATTTATTACTATTGAAATGCAGAAGAGCTACTATAGAAGCATGTGACGAAATGATATTTATATTTATCATAATAATAAATCGATATATATCGATATATAGATATATACAGCAATCAAACTGCATCACATTGTCAGCCAAATCAGATTGTTTAAATAAAATGAATTAAAATAATAAAATAAATCAATTCTTTATATATAGACATTCATATGCAACATATAAAAATCTACGAAAAAAACAATATATATCGATTTATATAAATAAAATAGGGTGTATAAAAACTTCTACTACTGCTATTCAAATCTCAATTGTAAATCACACTCTCTAAATTAAAGTGCTACAGGGTATACTATATATAACCCATCGCTTATTTGGAGACAGTTTCCAAGTGAACTGCAGCACGGAACAAAAAAGCACGCGCTAGCCGAAAAAAAAAAGAAAAGGAAAACAAAAAAATGAAAATAGAAAAATTGAAAAATCGAAATCTCTGCGAAAGGTAGAAGGCTGCTTCACAAGTGTGGGCGATCAGTGCCGCTGACAGATGCCAGAGGCGACACACAAGCTTGGGAATCTGCGGCCATCGAGGCAGCTGGGCAACACGCGCCAACAAACTGGACGACAGACACCAAATCGCTTAACCATATTAATTGGCTCAAGCGAGCAAATGAAACGAAACGAAACGAAAAAAAAAAAACGAGAACGAAGCGAATTGTATTTGCGGCTTTTGTGGGTTAAACGCGGCGTATGCGTAATATTTAAAATGATTATGACAGGCAGCAGCTAAAAACAACAAATAATAATAATAAATAATAAAAGCAAATGCACGTAATACGAACAACAACAGCAACAACAACAACACTAGCAAAAATGCCAACCGGCAAAAGTTGATGCACATTTATGCACATAACATTTACACACACACACACATATATATACATATATATATACATATATACATAGCAATGCATGTATGTATATATATATTTATATATACTATATGGCATAGCTAGTTTTGCTTGCATTTTGTTTACAAAATACAAGCGAGTTGCTATTGTTGTTGTGCATTTACTGTTGTTGTTGTTGTTGTTGTCATTACAAATAAATCGTTTGATTTGCGCAAATTGCAACCACAAAACGGCGATAAGCACACGACGAACTGACAAAACTGAACGAGCAGCTGCTGACTGATCGACTGATTGACTGGCTGACTGACTGACTGACTGACTGATTGACATTTTAACCAATTAAAAGTGCCGCAAAATAACGTAACGACAATGCGTCAAGTCAAATCGCATCAAGTAGCGCACGTCAAGCGCTTGCCTAACTTTTCTATATAGAAACTATAAAGAAACGGGCGCGACTCGCATGAATATGCATACTACACATACACATACACACATACATACATACATATACATATACACACACTCAGCCACACGACAGACGCTTGACTTTAGCCTTGGTCTTTGGCAAATGCACATTTTGGATTATTTCTGTACCGGGAAATTGGACTCGAGGGGTTATCAACTTTAACAACAAACAACATCAATCCAATAATAACAACAACAATGACAACAACAGACAGCAAACAGGAATTCAAATGCTAACATACTTTTGTATGTGAATACTTTAATACTTTTTTTTTTTTTTTTTACTATTTATAAATAAAATGATTGTTATACATAAATATATATTCATAATCTAACAATGTGTATTATAATTTTATCTGCAATGCATATTGACTGTCTGGTCACACTGAAAAGTGCAATTCATATTAGCATCAAATAGCATATTTTTAGTATATTTTCAAGCTTTAGATATATCCATTTTTGATATGTGCATATCAAATAGAATTGAAAATCATAACTGAGCTATCTCTGTTACATGTCCCAAATATATCATTGCTAATATTGTTTTTTGTATTACCTGGTCACACTCAAAATGCAATCATGTTATCGATAATAGCTAGCATAAGTACTAATATTTATATCAACCAAGTTACGTCTGATGCTCAGATTGATTTTACACAAGATAAGCTGTTTATGCATATTTGAAGAGCTGGTCACACTTCAAATGCAATTCGAATATTACACAAGTAATTTTCGCTATATATTAAGCAAATATACAATATCATATTGATTTGTACTTTAGAATGTAATATTTAAAAATAGAAATAAAATCTGTACAAAAATTATTAAACAAGCTTTAAAAAATTGTTAATTTTTTAATCATCTATAATTTAGACACATAATTTTACGGTTTCCAAATGCAATAAACTCTTTGTATATATAGTTGACATAACTTTTATCAGCTTTTTATAGCTCGAAATTCCATGTACACTAATAATATTTTTATATAGAAACGCCTATGTGCGGTCTATGCATTGCATTATATATATGGTATATGTATATATAGGTATATTTATATATATATATATATGTATTTCTGAAATATACCACTCAATTTGGTTGCGCTCTCAGTGTTATTGGAGCTATAAAAAATGCCAAATTTAGTATATACCAAATTAGCAAAAGGATGTAGATCTTGTAGAAGAGTGTTATAGTGTCGTAGGTAGAAACCTTTCGTATATATGTATACGTATAAAAACATTGACCTATTGCATTACGTACTTGTTCTAGAACTAAATAGTAATGCCCTCAGCTGATAATTTTGATTGCAGTTGCAACTAACGATGGCTTAACACTAATGCACTAAGCAGCCAGGCAGAAGTTATCTCTCTTATATACAGGTATATAGGGGTATATATACATATATAGGTATATTTATATAGCCTTTTATAACTCTATTATTTACACATTTTTTTTTAGCTTTCGTGGGGGGTTATCTACTTGCATAATGCAACCTGTTAACTTTCTGGTTGTTTGTCATTGTTGTTGTTGTTGTTGTTGCAATTGTTGTTGTTGTGCTTAGTTATGTATTTAGTTTGTTCTACTTACTTGTTAATCCTCGACCTTCATCAGCGAACGATAAGAATCCTTTATTCATATCTTGTGCTTGTTGCTGTTGTTGTTGTTGTTGCTGTTGCTGCACTTGTTGCTGTTGCTGTTGCTGTTGCAAATTGTTGTTCAATATGGCAGCTGTTGCTGTTGTTGTCGGCGGCAACGTTTGAGCAGCAATTGTTGTTGCCTTCTTCGGTGCAGCAGCAGCTGGAGTGCTGCGTATGAGTGAGGCAGTCACCGATTTGGGACGTTTCTCTTCGATGCGCAACAAATTGCTGTTGCTGTTGTTGCTGTTGTTGCTGTTGTTGTTGCTGAGAATCTGTGCTGTGATGGTGCGCGGTCCGGGTGAATTATTTTCACGTTTGATAAGCAATTCGGTTTGCAGTTGCTGCGTTTTGTTAGCTAAAGTTGAGGTTACGGTGTTGTTGTTGTTGCTGTTGTTGTTGTCACTAGTTGTTTTAATTGTTGTTTTAGTTGTTGTTGCTGGTGGTGGGTTAGTTGCAGCAGCAGTTGTTGCAGTTGGTGTTGTTATTATTGTTGCTGTTGTTGTTGTTGTTGTTTCGTTTGCAGTCTCAATCACTTTGGGTTTGTCCACTAGCTCTAAAGTTGTTGTTGCTGTTGTTGTTGTAGTTGTTGCTTTAGTTGTATCGGCAACTTGTTGTTTAGCAATTGTTGTTTCGTTGTTAGTTTCAGGTAGTTGTTGTTGTTGTTGCTGCTTTGCCTGTTCCTCACTTGCCGCCGTTTGTTGCGCAAGTGAATAAATCTCATGTTTGTTCTCAAGATTACTGCAAAAAGCCGATGCACAACGATATCGTAATGATAATCATATCAAATGGGTTTTTCATTTTTTTTTTTTATATGTTTTTTTTTTTTTTTTTCAAGTTGCACTCGTTTGTTACAAAACACAGCCCGATTAAGAAAGCGAAAAACGCGCGAATTGTCGATTTTAATTTTTGTTATATATGTTTATATATAACAGTTATTTGTTATATATATAACAGTTATTTTCGTTATTTATACATATCAAAATGTTGTTTTATATATATAACAGTTATATATTTTATGCATATATATAAATTTCTATATATACTACATTTATTTGTTATACTTAAAACATATGTATAACAGTTGTTTATAATATACATTTTTTGGTATTTTTCTTTTCACATGTATATAACAAATGTTTGTATATATAACAATTACTTTTATCATAAATTTTTAGTATTTAAAATTTGTTAGTATATATATTATTTTAAAAAAATAGTTATAAATAATTGTTTGCTATTAATGAGCCAGTTCCTGTGAGCTGCAAATGTTTTGGAAAATTTCGCGTGCTACTTCTTGTTTTTTTTTGTAAAATATTAACGATAAGAGCGTACCGGAAATGGATATGTCTTACAAACCCACTTGCCAAAAAAACAAAAAACTCCCCTCCTACCATCCTCTCTCTACAGGCTTATCTCTAAACGGGGCCAAGACGAAACAACGTCCAACGTCGGCGTCGACGCCATCGTGCGATAAGCCTCAGTTAGTGGGTGTGTCTCGCAGGCTAATTAAGCGTTACACAGCCGATTGATAACGGAACAGATCATGGCAACAGTATATATAATATGTATATACACATACATAAGTAAATATCATGTACTCTATATATGCTCAGCTCAGATTGTTGCAACAAGCATACGTTGCGCCCGTGATTGAAGCATGGAGATTCAGTGACTTTGGAGTGTATCTGGCATTCGACGTCTAATTCGCACTCGCTCTCTTTGCCGGCAAATGCTTGCTTGATAAGATAGGTAACGGTACAATCGGCTACAACTCAGCTGTTGGGCCTGTGCATGCGCACAGTGTATGAGCGTTATAGCCTTAGACACGTGAAAACGTCGTGCATTGCGGACAAGCAACAAACTAACCTTCAGACCCCCCGCACCCCACCCCCCGTCGAGCACAAGCTATAGATAAAGATTGAAACTGGAAGTTGATGAAGTGCAGAAAATATACGATTCACGACAACAACAACAACAGCAACAACAACAACTTAATTATTAACTTTTAAAAGTCAAAGTCAACAAGCTTACGGAATTTTCGTTTTTTGGGGGCTCGTCTCAGTGGTGAAATAATGGGAACTACGCAGTGTGAGAGATATGTACATACATATGTACGTTGGGTTTTTGATGGGTACGCCACGGGCCTAGGGTCTGATAGCTCTGGCATTGATATAGAGCAGAGATGATTCAATGTCAAGTTGTGTTTTGTTGACAATGGAAAATTATGGAAACTTTGCTGTACAGCAAATGATGCACACAGACACCTGCATTTAGTATATGTACACAGAGAGTGTGGAAGAGCGAGAGAGAGTGAGAGCGAGCTATGCCGGAAGGCAATCAATGGGACAAAAGCGTTTGCTACAATAGCCGCAAAGCTAACAAGCAAAACGAAAACACACAGCAACAGAACACACTTAAATAATTGCTTCATCTATATTCTTCTTCTTCCACTCTTATGTTTTTTTAACGTACTTTTTGCCGGTTGCAGCCGGTTTGAACTCACGTTTTCAGCTCTTACATCATTTTCATTAAAAATTGCCAAAAAAAAAAAAAAAATGTATTGTGAAAAGCAACAAAGCTTAAAATCAATTAAGTCTAAGCCTTTGAGCTTTTAATTGAAGCTTTGTCGGCCTGTTAAACTGTGCTGTGACGAAAGCAAACACCTCAAGCAATGCTGATAAGAGCAAAAAAAGGCGAGAGAGGGCATCTAAACTCTTGAACTCTGTGTAACATACTCAACGAACACAAGCACACATGCACAGGCACACGCACAGGCTCATGCACTCACACACACACAAGTCCAAATCAAAGTCGAGTCAGTGTATCAATTGATCGCGTGATGTTAGTGCGTCTCTCTCGCTCACTTGCTCTCTCTTTGGCTGCACTGACACACACATGCACGTGTACAGACAAATGCACTCACGAAACACTGCAAACACTCAGCGGCACACTTTTCGACTGGTGAGCGACGAAGAGAGCGCGAGTGAAGAGAGAGGGGCAGATCGGAAGAGCGCGTCTAAATAAGATGAGGGTAAAGTGTAAATAGAAGCAACAACAATAATCACTTAGAAGTGCATTAGTAATGCAGTTAATGTCAATTGCTAATGGCAAATTGAATATGAAATAAATAAATAAACATATGTGTGTGTATATATGTATTTAGAAATATGACATAGCGACAGATAGATGAATGAAGTATTGTAGTTGATTCAACTAAATTAAAGCAACAATTTTATTGTGTAACAAACTGAGGCGAAACGCTCAGATACAAGGAGACGACACACACACACACGGTGTCACAGAGAAAGAGTGAAAGAGAGAGAAGAAGAACAAAAAGAAAAGAATATATACATATGTATAAAACAAATGAATTCTGCCTGACTGAAGCTGCGACGATGTTGTATTGCTCTCTCTGCCGATGCCGCTGGCTCTGCTACTGTCTCTGCCGCTGTCTCTGCCGCTGCTGTTGATTTCAATTGCAGAGCAATAACGGAGCAGCATCAACTCAACGTAAAATGTCAGTAATTGCTTTTGACGAACATTTTGTTTTTTTTTTTCGTATGCGTGTGTGTGTGTGTGTGTGTGAGAAATGCGTGCATGTGTGCGCGCACATAAAAGGCAATGTGTATTAAATTGAATGAAAATAAAAAGCAGTAGGCAAAAGAGGCAGCAACACACACATACAAACACACACGTATATGAATATGTAGGTATGTATTTAATAGAAGCTGAATTAACTAGACTATAAACAGCGTAGAGACCAGACGCAAATTTCGGCCCCCACACACACGCACACACCATTGCAAATTGTGTAATCAACATATATGTAGGTAGGCGTCTAAATGCAAAGACATGCACACATACACACACACATAGAGACAGTCTGTGTGTATGCGAGTCTATTGACAAGCCTATGCTAAATGCTAATTAAGCTGCAATTCAATTAAATTTCATCAACAAATTAACTCGCTCAGCATTTTTATGTAATTGCAAATGCAAAAGCAAATGCAGCTACGCTTCCTGCGCTGCCCCCACCCTCAGCCTAAACCAAAAACAAAACGAAATGCCAAATAGCCAAAATAAATAAAACAAACGCGAAACAAAATGAAACGCCGCCGCCACCGTGGACTCTACAGAGAGCGGGTTCTCGGTGCACGCAAAAGAGAGTGGGAGAGAGAGCAAAAGAACACAGAAACGGAGAGCGAGTGGGCAGCCAGCAGACAGATCGTGCGTTGCGTTGTGGGGGTCGCGCGTCGTCAACGTCAACGCCAGCGCCGGACTGAAACGCAGATTGCAATAAAAATTGTCATCGTTGTTGTTGTTGTTGTTGTTGCTGTTTTTGCGCTTGCAACTGCCGCTGCTGCAGCGCCGACCGCAGCAATGCATTTGCTTTGTAGGTTAGGTGCGCGAGTGTTGTGTAAAAGTTTTTTTTTGCAGACTTCTTTTCGTTAATTTTTTTGGGCGTAATCTTTTTGTAATTGTTTATTAATTAATATGCATTGCTTTACGACCTTCTCTTCGTGTGTTTGTTGTTGTTATGGTTTTTCGCTTTCGCTGCCGCGTGTAACAAACGTGCGCACTTGTTTTTTTTTTCTTTTTCTCTCTTTAAATTGAACAGAAATTATGAACATTTCCTTTATTTTTATTTATTTTTGATAATCTTTTTGACACACACACACATGTATATATACGAAAATATAATTGATGTATGTATATATATTTGTATGTGTGCTTGTGTTTTATTTTCATTCTTTTTGTCGTTGTCAAATTCACGCATAATAAAAAAAAGTTTATTTTTGTCAAAAATAAAAATATATAATTTGTTGTGTTCAACTAGTTTATATATAAACATATACACATTTCTATATGTATATGAATATATATACTTTATATATATTTTTATTATGCTTAATTACAGTTGTATTTGTTGTTTATTTTTACAGCCACAAATTACATTTTTTTATATAATTTTTTGTATACTTTAAACTATTTGGTTACCTTTTGCTTTTTAAAACATTTCTTTTTTTTTTATTGTAGAACTTTGTTAATTTCTAGTATTATTATTGCAATTATTGTAATTATTTGTTTAATTATTGAGAACGGAAATGCAATTGAGTTTTATTTACAGCGAAAGTTGAAAAATAGATGGCGTTTATTTGTTTTATTGCTTTTTTGACTTTTGTTGTTGAATTTCGGTTTTGTATTTATTTGCACAATTTGACGTTGTTAAACAATAAAAACAATATATTTGAACGTTTACTCTGTGCGTTTCTTTCGTTTTGGCCAAGTTCGCCGAGTCCAGTTATTTTAATTTTATTGTTATTATTCTTGCTTGTTTGCTTTTTTTCTTTTCTTTTGATTTTTTTTCCTTTTTTTCTTTTTTTCTTTTTTGTTGGTGAGAATTAAAGTTTAGAAGTGCAGACGGAAAAACTCAAGCGCCTGACTGCGCCGCTTGCTTGCACAGACGACAACGTACCAGAGACGAATAAGCGGAATGCCAGCGCAGCTGAAAGCTTGTAGCCGTCGCCGCTCTGCTGCTGCTGGCAGCGAAAGAGCACAGCGTCGCGCTGCTGTTCTAAGTGCGAGCGCAAAACAACAACAAGGCACTCAAAAGAGCGCAGCGCCGGCGCACTGCCATTGAGTGCTTTCACGCTGACTAGTTTCACTCATTGCGTGCGGGCAATTGAGCGCAAAACCAACGCCATTTACGTTCATTTTTTTCCGTTTCTGTTTCGTTT